GGTGCGAGCTGAGCCATGGCTGGTTAGTTTAGAGGATCCGTCGGAGACTGAGGTTCGAAACACGATCACAGCCCACAATTGTTTTCGTGCCGCGCTGGCTCGGATTCCCTGCCACCTGCACTATTTAAGGATAGAAACGAGGTCCTCTATGAAGCATTGACCTCTATTCGTGCATGTCTGGAAGGAGTAGACCGTCCAAGCTAGCTGGAGTGAATCGATTGGAGTGGCAATGTATAAGAAGGGCAGTTGCATTGACCGTGCTAACTGCGCGGGTATTCGCTTAATGGCGGGTGTAACAAATGTACTGGTCTCAATCCTAAGTCATCGCCTCACTGCGGAACAAGAGTCCAGGAGTGGGAAAAAGTAAGCAGTTTTCCGCCCAAGCAATTAGCTGTGGGCACGTACTACGTAAGACCGGTCGCCGCTTGCCGAGGTCCTTGTTTTGTTTGTGAGATGTAGGCTAGCGCAAGGCCAGTGATGGGCAAAAATTAATTTGGCAGCGGGAAATGAAGTCACTGATGACTAAGCTTGGTGCTGTCAGTGCGTCTCACCTTCCATGCTGGAGTCTATGTAGTAGTGCGCCTTGTGCATGACTAGAGAGTCGTACGACTCGCAGTTGGCTCCAGTGCCGAGTTTGCTATCGTCTCGTAGTCGGATTGCTTGAGTTATCTGCGGGGTAATGGCTGATTATGACGTGAGGCAGTAAAAGCCGCAAGGAAGCTGTCTCGCTGATGCCGCCTTATCTTTGCACCATAGCCAGCTGTTTGTGACGGTATCTTGTCCACACAAGGTGTAGGCGCCTTCACTCTGAATGTTTGTTTGGAACATTAATCTCTCCCTCTCTCTTATTCTACATGGGTTAAATGAAAGGATTTTAGTCTGACACGGAAATCAGATAGCTCGGCAAGTCAAATAACGTTTTCTTTAATCTACCATTATTCCTTTTTTATTTTAAGGAAATCCATATTTCTACCTCTTTTACTTTCATTTCAGCCAATTCTTGAATTAAAAATGGTCTGCAATGTGGTGAAACTAGATAAATTTATGCATCGTGCAATGCTCAAATATTTCCCTCTCAAAGGAGTGTCACCATCTGAAATCCATCAAAATATGCTCAATACATTATATTCCACTGCCCCTTCATATAAACGCTGGGATCAAGAGCTTAAGCTTGGCAGAGAAAGTAATGAAAATGAGCCGAGATCAGGGAGAACATCAGCCACCACCACCACCAAAGAAAATCTTGACCTAATGATGGATATGCTCATGCCAGATCACCGATTAACGGCTCGTCAGATAACAAAAAGTTGGGCATCTCCCAGGAGCGAGCAGATAACATTCTGACGAAGGAACTGGGATATTCAAAAGTTTCTGCTCTATAGGTGCCACGTCTTCTTACTCCAGAGCATTTGACATGCGATGTCAAAGAACGATTTGGCACTGGTTGATGCAGATGCCGATGATTTTCTTGAGCGATTCATTACTATGGATGAGTGTTGAGTTCACCACTTACAACCAGAATGGACGGAACAATCAAAGCAATGGAAGCGTGCATCATCTCCGACGCTAAATAAGGCCAAGGTGGTAGGGCTGTACGGTATCGGGCGCATCCCCAGGTTACGGATCGGGGAATGCCTTCCTTGTGAAGGTAACTGCGAATAAGTCTCTTTTGCCTTGCAGGTGAGATGAATAAACAGTCACGGACCATCAGCAGCAGCGTCTCAAAGCGTGGGGAGTTCTGGGCTGGTCACCTGGTTCTCCATCAAATACCACAAGAGCTCATACGGCGCTATGTCAAAGTCAATGTGACCGGCTATGGGGTCACTGACCACTCACTTCTGTAACCAGAAGTGAGTAACTAAAGGAAGGTAGATGAACAACCTTGTTGGCTACCGGCTTCTCCGTCTACTGCTACTGAACACAAAGAAGTCGAATGAGCTGCCAGAATGTCAACAGTCTCCGTTAATCGTCCCGATGCCTTGCGGCTCAGGTCTTTATGACCGAAGGCTCGGGGTGTGGTCCCTTAAGTCAACTCTTTTCCTCGGCCTGGGCAACCTTGTTAACCTTCCAAACCTTTCCACTGTCTACCTGTTTTCCACTTTATGTTGTTGTTGTTGTTAACTATCTGTTGTGGCACTGCCAATCGTATATTGCTCAGGTGTTGAATAATATAAGGCCAAGGTCACCGTCAGCTGGAATTCGTTTTTTTATTCCCGAAGTGTGGTGGTGATTGATTTCCTTGAAAGAGGACATACCATCACACGAAAGTATTACTGTGAGCCTATGTAACCTCTCAGAGAAAATATCCGAGAAAAACGACTAAAAATGCTGACCAAACGATTCATTTTCCACAACGACAATGCTTCAGCCCACACTTCCTCTATTGCTCAGAAAACAATCTGCGATTGTGGCTTCTAGCTTCTTTCCCATCCACCCTATTCACCAGGTCTGACTTCCACGTATTTCCAAACCCGAAAAAAGCTTTAGCCGGTAATCGTTTTTCTCAACGATTGTATGTTATTGAAGCTGCAGACGCGTTTTTAGTGTCGCAATCTGGAGCTAGTGTGTTGCGCTTGAGAGTGATTATGTTGAAAAATAATAGTATCGAGGACAGTATTTTGTTCGGTTTTTTTGAAACTCAGGACTTTTCATTCAACCCACCTACGTTTCGGAGGTCGTTGTCGTTGTACTGCAGCGAAGCGTCAGTGGAAATGACTGGCGTACTTCTGTTGATGATGACGAGTCACTCAAGTGTAATATCCGGTGCGTTACTATGTGGTCCACACTAAACGGACAATACGACAGGGTGTACAGCCCCCGTCTACTGCATCCGTCTTCGTACGACATACTTCGTAAACTGGGGATGAGTTTGGTGGCCGCATGCTGAACACGTTCCAGATTTTATAAGTCGTCACTAGTGATCCGACAGTAGGCAGTTAAGCCGTACTTCTATGATGGAAATGTAGAGGCGCGAGTGGCAGTCTCTTGAGACCAAATATAGAGGCTGCGTTTGAGCGCCCAAAACATGTTCAGTCCGTTATCATATTATTTGTTCGTGTTGTCCACGGACTTTAAATCGCAGTGTTCACGGTGTTGGATGTAGCGATTAGCCTGTCAGAGCGTATGTACTCCATTACCACCCTACCCTAAGCTAATACACAACGAACTGACGGGTTTGACTGGCAGGTCGACCTGCGCAGATCATATGGATAGAAGTAGAAGTTCGAGGTCATGCTGAAGTACGTCCAAATTCTCAGCAAACAACGCACAATGAGACCGGATAAGTTGACCTGATTCGTTGAGATACGCCACTAATGAAAGAATACCATTTAGTTAGATGAACATTTAATAAGGAAGTTGCTGATCTACTAGTGCAGTGAGCCACTTACGTCCCACATCCTCAGTGTGTACATGAGGTCCCCATTGATCACTTCGTCGTGCGGTTTATTCAGGTCAAAGTAGATCGCATCGATTGACTTCCTTTGGTTCAGCTCTTTCGGCCCTTCTCCAATCTCGTCTATGCACATTCGCCGAAATGTAGGCCAGACAATTTGACCGGTAATAGTCCAACTTGTTCGGGTCACCTCCATTTGGAATAGCGATAGATTGATCAGGTCAATCAAGGAATAGAGGTGTGTACCGATAAGGACTTGGGGACAAGCGGGTGGATGCCGTCAGGACCTGCAAGCTTCTCGTATCGTCAAGAGTGGCAACAAGATTGCGGACAACTTTCACACCCCGCTATCCACGCTGTCGAGTGTGGTTGGGCTGCACACATCGAACGTTGCAGACTTATGGCCATTTGCAAATACGGAAACGGAGAGCACCACCATTGCGGATACATGTTGAGTGCTGGAAGTTAGGGGTTGTCCGTCAGAGCTCTCTAACACTGCTAGGCCGGCTGCAGACCTCGGACAAAGGGCATCAGCCTTACTCCGGTACGCAGTACCGACGCTTCGTTGCTGCGCAGCCACCATCAGTCGCACGTGGGCTAAGGATACCGGTCCCTACGCAGGCTCGAACTCACGCCCTCGGATTAGCAGGCAGGCTTGTGAACCTTAAGGCTACGGGCTGGCTGACCTCGGACGCCGTTTCACGTAAACCCATATTCCCTTGGAGGCCATCTTCGCTGAAACTGCAAGCTGCTCTTCGAACTGCCAACGGTTCTGTGCTTAGGCGCTGTTGCATAAATTTTTTTTCTGTCTCTAGTACATCTCGTAATCATTGGTGGTTTTGAGAACGTTTTCCCTTGTGTAGAAGCTGGATTATGTTTTACCCATCTAACCATTATTTGTACTTTCTCCCTATGAGACGACGTTCTCCTCTCGTTATGTATGTTCGGCGTTCACTCTCTTGTCATCCGATCGCCGATGTTGGTTACGTTGTAACTACCGATTCAAATGCTCCACCTATCTCCACGTCGCTCCAGTGACTTTGTGTTTACACTGCGAGAAACATTTCGCATACACTGCTTCCTTAGTGGTATTCTGTGTGGTCGCGGTTGAACTTTGACCCGTATGTCTGCTTTTCTCACTTCCCGATGAGTATAGCTCCTCTTCTACTGTTCTGGTCACTACTGCGTCCATTGAAGAGCTTGTTATCCATCACTGATCGCATCTTAAATTGAATACCATCCATGAAATTGCACAGAGATCGCTACCTGACTTCGATTGTGGATGGCAGACGTTTGTATAAGTATTTCCAACAACTCCTACTAATCCGCATTGGGTTCCCGACCCAAGATTCCTGATTCCAACGAGGTTTCTTTTCAAAATCGCATTAACATTGCTGTAGCCTATAAAAGCTACGTGATATCAGCTGCATACACCATCGAACAGCCACACGGGACGCCATAAACCGCAAGATTGCTAACGATATTCATATATTTGTCTAATGCTATTTCCTCTCACTTCCTATCGCGACTAAGGCCTACCGTAACTATACAAATGCATTTACCGACCGCTAATTTACACCAATACGTCGCCCTCGGTTTTTTATAGACTACCCGATTGGATTTTCTTTCGTCGTGTCGCATCACTTTGTCCAATCCCCTCTACCGCCCACAGCCCCCGGAACTGATCCACACTGTTCTGGAAGGCCACCAGGGGCGGCCACCACCGTGACTGGTGGAGCTTGTTCCTCTACGGATACTCCCGTCCCCGTCATCGCGAGACGATCAGATCGTGGATGCTCAGAAGCCGCGACACCGCGGCATCTCATTATCAAACCCACTGACGATGAGCTCCGATCGTCCGCTGCCACGCGTTCCCACCGAAGAAAATCCAGATCACCTCATCACTCTCCACCTCCTTGTCGTCTTTCACCTCATTTCGATTCTGCTTCGACCCATGTGACAGCCGTTCCCTCGATTCCAGCCTCCATGGCATCTGGTTAGTTGCGCATTATAAGGCTCTTATTTTGCAGGAATCCTCGCGTTCAATCAGTTTGACTATTCTTATGACCTGCTCTCAGATCCAGCCGGCAATCAGTTGATTACTGTCACTTACCCTGTCTTGTTCGCGTGCTATCTGACCACTAAGTAGTGAGCACACCAACAGAGTTGTTCTTTGACCTTGGGCCCTCGGCCGTGTAAACAACTTATACGCAGAGGTTAATGCAGAGGTTAATCCATACAATTGAGGATCCTAGCAAACCCATACGCTCAGTCTATTTTACACCTTGTGATGTGTGTTTTCACCAGTTGTGCGGTCTTTTTTGCGTCTGTATTATCTGATTGTCATGTCGGTGTGCAGCGGTCTTTTATCTTTCGGTGACACTTCATAAGGTATTTTGCAAGAATAATACTGAATACTTTACGTTGGAGCAGGTGGAAATATAAATCTGTACAACTCCAATCGCAATGTAGACAAAAATCTTATAAAAACTGTGTGTACTCCGTGATAATCAAATCGTTCGACAAGTTCTTATGCGGCATTTTAGGGTTCCCAGATTCACGATGTCATTGCTAGCGTGCAATCGTTCTCTGAATCAAATGGGACTGAAATGTAAATCAAATAATCTCTCGAACTTTAATGTTTTCGTCCAAACGGTTCACAAGCTACGTAGCCTAGTCCGGAAAAGCACCAGATGCGTTTCGCTGGTCAGTGGTACGCGTTTCCTCTGTCCCCTATTGAAGAACGACCCCATGACGGTTAGAGGCTGACGCCCACTAGCCAACAGGTTAAGCTGTTGAGCCATGGGGGACGGCTGCTGGGCTACACAATTTGCAAGCCAACTGCGATATAGCACGACCTGTCTTCCAATGCCACGCAGGTTACTACCCTTGCAGATTACAGTGACTAGCCTCCAGGCCATATCTTTATCCCATAGCATTTGAATCTAGGAGAGGCTGCAAATTCTGTAACCCAGCTGCCGTCCCCCATGACTTAACGGCTTAATCTGCCGACTAGTTGGCGTCAGCCTCTAACCGTCATGGGTTCGATCCCCATAAGGGGACTGAGGAAATGCGCACCACTGACGAGCCTGAATAGGGCGAAACGCGTCTGATGCTTTTCCAGATTGTGGATAAGCTATGTAGCTTGTTACCTGGCTAGCCGGACAACCTCGCGGTGCCAGCTGGGTGGTTCGGGTTTAACCCGTTCCAGCAAATATTTCGGCAGCAGTGTTTCAGGAAGTGGTGGGTTTTCGCCTAGCAAACGTTCTCCCTATAAAAAGGCACAAATGTCTGCTTAACAACACTGTGACGTGGCGGTCGTGACTCGCCAAAAATAAAGTCACTGCCCCGTGGATATTCGGATAGTCATTTCCAACCCACAGACACCAATCTTCTACTCGCATATTGCTGATATCAAACATTCTAGGATGGGACAGCACAATTTCAAGCACAAATTACACAGCTATATATATATATATATATATATATATATATATACAGTGGATTCCGGTTAATAGGACCACCGGTTAATAGGACCAGCCGGTTATTCGGGCCAAATTCTGAAGAACCGAAACGAATCCTATTACGCTAGCCTAATTTTAGCCGCTTATTAGGACCGGAATTCCGCTTAATCGGACCAGACGATAGAAGGTGGCAGGTAACAGAGGTGTTAAAATCAAGTTCTGTGCCTGGATGTCTGGACTAAACCCACAGTTCATATGTCGGGCAAGAAAGCGGATCATTCAGTTACGGTAATCCGAGTTTGCCTTTGGATAAACTGAACTGTGGCAACTTTGAGGCACATCTATATCATTGGCTTCAGAACCGCCCGAAACTGACTGTAGTTTCCAACACTTGTAGACGGAGCGAAGACATATATGCTTGTTCACATGTCGTTAACCGCTCGATCGATGTACCGCACGTCCATTGAGCCGAATGCCCTGAGCCCGCATTGCGGGCCTACTCTCGAGCACGGCAAGTGATCGCGGACACACAGGTCCGGCAAATCATAGGACAGCAGGTGGCTAGGTCAACCATAGAAATACCCGGGAGACAGACTCGAGTTCACCTCAGTGAACTGTGCGTGTCTTGTTGCATGTTAAGAAAATGCCACGACGGGACTTGACGTTAGCTGAGAAAATACGTTCCCTAGATCAGATCAAGGAACAGGGACCAACCACTAGTCAGCGTCGATTGGTGGAAATTACCTGCTTGGCAAAATCTACAATATCGCGCCTGATAAAACAAGAGAAAGATCTGCGAGAAGAATGGGCACAATGTGAAGGACGACGAGGTACTTCCCAAAAACAGAAGCGTGAAGGCAAGGATCCAGACGTCGATGAGGCCCTTAATGATTGTTACTGGACGAGCCGTGCGAGTAAGTGGCCCAAAGTTAAAGTACAAAGCAGAAGAACTCGCTAAAATGCTGGGCCACGAAGATTTTCTAGCTACGGACGGCTGGTTGTCTCGATGGAAATCTAGACATGATGTAAAATTTAAGAAAGCACATGGTGAGAAAGAAAGTGCCAATAGCGCTCGAGCTGAAGAATGGAAATAAACAAAACTACCAGAGCTTCATTAAAAATTTCCAGCAGATGACATCTATAATGTTGATGAAACCGGGTTGTACTATAGGGCTACACCGGACGGCTCCTTAAGTTACAAACATGTTACTCTCTCTGGCTGCAAAAAAGCAATGGATCGCGTATCTGTCTTGTGCTGCTCAAACATGTCCGGAACAGACAAGAGGAAGTTGCTGGTTATAGGAAAATGTGCCAAGCCTCGCTGCTTTAAAGGACTCAGAATGGACAGTTTACCAGTTGTGTATCCTGCGAACAAAAATGCATGGATGAGCTCTACACTTTTTAAAGAATGGGTGAAAGGTCGGGACACAGAGCTACAACGGCAGTCGAGAAAAGTGTTATTACTTCTCGACAATTGTGCAGCACATTCAAATTTGGTGTTCTTGAAGAATATCTAGATGGAATTTCTGCCTCCCAAGCCCACATCTTTGATACAGGCAATGGACATGGGCATCATAAAAAAATTTTAAGACCTTTTATCGTTCAAGGTTGGTGAATTACATCCTTGAATCAATTGAGGAAGGCTTGCTGATCTCATCCTCGACGGCCGGAAAAATCAGTGCAAAGGTCAACATTTTGCAAGCCGTTACATTCGTGGCCGAAAGTTGGCGAAAAATGAGCAGTGCGACAATTCGGAACTGTTTTTCTCACTGTGGCTTTAAGCATATTGTCTCGGAGATGGATGTGGTTATGGTGATCGTAAATGAAAATGACGGCGAGAATGTGGAGCTGAAACAAGTTGAAAATTACGAAGAATTTTTGTCAATCGACAACGAACTTAAACTCTGTGATGGAAATGAAGAATGCGATGCTGCCATTGTTGATCGAATAGTAGCGAAACACACGACAGCAACAGAAGACCATGGAAGTGATGAAGAGAACCCTAACGTGTTGATGCCAGTCACAAAACGGGATGCAAGGAAATGCATTGAAACATTGCACCGCTATTTCATGCAGGAAGGAAATAAAGGTAGTCCTATTACTGCGTTACATGTTTGTGGTGATTTTGTGCGAATGCAGTCTGTTAAAAGAATGCGTCAAACCACACTGGATACGGTCTTCAAACGCTGAATGGAATTCGGTAATCCCTTTGTATAAAACTGTACTTCGCATGCTGAATATCTTGTAGGTCGTTACGAAGAATTTGTTTGTAAATTTCTTTTTCAGTGAACAAAGTTCGTTATCAAAGCAGTTCTTTTTTGTGTGTTTGCTATAAATATATGCCGCCAATACAGGTCATAATAGTAGTTTCCTATGTTATGTATAGCACGTCCCATCTTGTTACATCGGGTAACTTCGGTTAATCGGACCAGCCGCTTAATAGGACCAAAATGGTCTGGTCCCGATGTGGTCCGATTAACCGGAATCCACTGTATATATATATATATATATATATATATATATATATATATATATATATATATATATATATATATATATATATATATATATATATACAATTACATACTTATAAACCCCCCACATAAATATGCACTGTTATGGCAAACATATCGGATTTTCGCACATTCTTGATCACGCATTGTTATGTCAAAATGATCATGCCTGTAAAGGAGTGCCTCGCCTTGTCCAGAATAAAAGCTCTCTAGCTTTATTGAAATTACTATTAAAATCCTCCTACTCATAAGTAACATAAATTGTAGCCTTTCCCAGTTTCTAATGCTACGATCGTAGTGCCTACTTATCAGAAGCCATGGCCTGCAGGCTAGCCACTGTCATCTGCAAGTAGTAATCTGCGTGGCAGTGGAAGATAGGTCGCGCTATATCCCAGTTAGCTTGCAAATTATGTAGTCCAGCTGCCCTCATGGCTCAGTGGCTTAAGCTGTTGACTAGTTGGCGTCAGCCTATAACGGTCATGGGTTCGATCCCTAGTAGGGGACTAAGGGAATGCGTTGACGAGCCGCAGTAGGGCGAAACGCCTCTACTTTTTCAGATTATGGCTGAGCTATGTAAATTGTGATCTGCTGGGATCAACACACTAAAATTCCAACTGAAAGCCTCCTACTCATAATTTTTGAACTGTTGTACATATTTACTCTCTATGACTTGTTCTGGAGGGCTGTTTCAAACATTCACCACTCCCCATTCGAAGCACCAGGGGTGGGGTAATCGTTTTATATCCGGCACCACAAGCTTGTACCGGTGTCTGCGTGTGTTACATGGCGTTCGCAAGTGAGGCAGCAGTGAAGAAGCAGCTTCAACATGGGGAAGTCATTGAGATGCAATATATCGTAGGTCATAATGAGATGGACTCGCAGTCGACGATAAGACAAGGTGTGGAGTCTTCGTTTCTCGCACCGGTCTTCGTACGGTAATTCTCCTAGACTTGGAATGAGCTTGATAGCGACCTTTTGAACCCGTTCGATATTCTTTGCTTCGCCTCAGGTGATTGGGCAGTAGACAGGTGAGCCATTCTCCAGTATTGTTTTATGACGGAAGAGAGGAGGCAAGAAGCAACCTCTTCAGACCCATTACACAAGCTGCGTTTGATCGCCCAAAGCATGAGCAGTCCATTACGATATAGTCTATTCATGTTGTCAACGGACTTCAAATAGCAGTGCGAGAGTACACCTTGTTCCTTCACCGAAGTTGTGGGATGTGGCGGTTGGCCATCAATGGCGTAACTTCGGCCATCACCACTATTCCCCTGGTTCATAAATACCGACTTGGATGGTTTGACCGGAAGGCGGGCTTCCACAGTCCACATGGAGAGGCGGTTGAGGTCTTGCTGAAGTAGGCTGCAGTCATCTGAGGTGCTAACCACTCTCCAAACTTTCAGGTCGTGCGCGGACAGCACACGGCGGCCGAAGGTGCTGAAGTAGATCGTTAATGTGGATTAGGAACAGGGTGAGCCCCAGCACCGTGCCTTGGGGTACACCACTAGTAGATGCATAACAATCGTTCAACAAGTAAGTCCTTGAACCACTGGAGCAGTGATGCACCAGCATCGCACACTATCGGCTTGTTGAGGTGAATCTCGTAGTTTACCTTGTTGAACTCTTTACTGAAATCGGTTTTGATCATCTAGATAGACTTCCCTTTATTCAGTGCCTGCAACCATCATGCCTCGTCATCAGCAGTTGGTAATGCATGAACGACCTAGCATAAAACCGTGCTGTGCGGCGTCAGTAAATCTTTTATATGAAGCAGCAATAGTAGACTTCTTCACGATCTTCTCGGCCAAACTAGGTGTCAGACATATTGGTCTGTAGTTGTCCACTTTGTTGGGGTCACCGCCTTTCGGAATCGGCTTAACCGCTGAGTATTTCCATTCACTCGGCAATGAACCTTCGGATAGTGAGCTGTTGGGCAAGTCAGTCACAGCGAGTGAGATGATGACAGATAGGGACTTCAGAATCAGGAGTGGAGTCTGTCAGGGCCAGCAGGTTTGGTATCGTCAAGGTTACTGAGTAGTTGGTGCACATCTTCAACATCGCAAACCAGACTGTCGAGTTCGGTAATCGCGGTACACATCGAACTCATGGTCATTTGCAAACACGAAAGCGAAGTGCGCCGCCAAGGCGGACGCTGGCTCAGATCTAGAGGTTAGGGGCTATCCGTTCGAGCCCTCTAAGACCGGCAGATTACCTGCTGGCTTGAGGCGCCGCTTCACGTAAGTAAATATTCTTTTCGGAGCTGTCTTTGTGACGGTTGCGAACTGCTGTTCGAAATTCCGGCGGTTGCTCCTTTTTGTACCATTGTAAATATTTTGCTGTTTCTTATACGCTTGGAAGTGCTGGACGGGAGGAATTTGTCCCACAATTTTCGACGCCGTCGAGCCATTTTACGATACTCCTTGTCGAACCAATGCGGCTTGACTGGTCTAACTTTCCGACACTTTATCGGTACAAACTGAGAACAAGGTAATGTCAGTTTTTCTCGAATAACAGTCCAAGAGTCTTCCACAGATGCAATTTGCGGCATAGACCATTCTAATTGCCTCGCGGCTTGAGTTAGACCGTCAAGTGAGTTTTCCACTAGTTGTAAGTTGGCTCCAGCCGACGGGAATATAGTAAAGATTGATCCATACTGACTATGTGCACTGAGTTACCGCTTGATGCTAGGATCTCCAAAATCTGAAGGTCAAACACATGTTGTTCACAGCTTTTTAATATCAAGTCTAGGCAAGAAGAGCTGAGCGCGATATTATTCGTGTCAGCTGCCATATGTGTCGCTCTGCTCCACCTTCAAGTACTGAGTCCACGAACTTTGTTTCGACCTCGCAATATCCTGGCATAAGTTAACTTAAAGGACAATCGAAATCACCAATGAGTAGAAAATGGGGACGAATCATGTGACTTGAGTTACGACAGCCAATCCAAACAACGACTTAGGAAACTGTGATAGAATACTCACACGAGTAGCTCACCGCATCTGAGATGGATCGAGCACCACAGCTGCTCACACAGATCATCATCGCTTCTGTAGACGCTCACAGCTCTCCCACACAGAGAGGACCGGATGTAGAGCAAGACGTCACCGCGAGCGGTCCATAGTCTATCGCAGTGGAAGTTTGAGTAGCCACTGAGTTCCATTTCCTAGGCTATCACTTCAGAATTCAGCAACGTCTCTGCGAGTCCCATTACGTCTGGTCGCTCAGATGCGACGAAACGACAGAGTTCATCGCGGTTGTTCATAGCATTACAAATGTTGGTAAAAGCTACGCACAGGCCGCAGCAGGAACCACCGAACGTGCTTGAAGTGTGAACAACCTGTTTGTCCTGATTTTTGAAATCTTGGAAACGACCCGAAAAGTTACGATACGGAAATTTGTTTCCTCATCACCATTTCATTTCTTCAGTTTATGGTAGATTTGAGTCGTTCTCGATGCACCGGATCTAAGTCTGGACGAACATGGAGTTTTAGACCTATCAACCTATTTAATCGTACTGCCTTCGTCCACAAAAGTGATTCTCATTGGTCGCCCTTGTTGGTCATTATTCTTTCCAAGACGGTTAATTTGCTTCAGTTAGGCTCTGGAAAACTCGACGGCATGATCGTAATGTATCTGAGGTTGAATCACTGGATGCAGGCGCGTGCAGGATCACGAGGTTAAAACGCTTCTGATCGATTTTGCAGGTCGAGGATTTTCTCGCGCTTCACGTGTTCTGGCATTTCGTTTATATTCTTTCCTTGTATTCTTTAAGTGTCTTAAGTACACAGGTCTTCACACACTGGGACACCAGTGCCTGTAGAATGCAACATAAGTGAAATATTCGCGTCAGGTGTATCTGAGCTGCTGGTAACTCCGGGAATTCGTGCCGGTGAGTTTGCATATGACGAGCAGGAAAGCTTATCTGAAATCTGGAGGCGCTTTGGACTGGTTTGTTGGGCCAAACACACTGAGCTGCTCTTAACGGAATGATTCACTCTACAAGATTTTGATTCACCTTATGTGAGAGCCTTCATAGCTTGTCTCGGCTCAACCGTTCGTCCATCACAATACGGCCGTTTCGTCTTAGGGCTAGCCGCTATGTGAATTCTGCGGCCGCTGGTCAGGGTTTGGACACCTCAAACGTCTATTTGGGAGTTCGTAGTTGCCTCCATCGCGTCGCAAGTGATATCCGCAGTAGAAGTTACAGTGATACTTTGTTACCGAATGGACTTATTTTCACGAGTTTATCAACAGCTTGTGACTGTTTTGTCTCCCCGAGATGTATAAGTGCCTTGACTGAATGTTTGGTAGACTGGCATCCACTCTTCTTCGCAACACCTGTCACTGGAGTCCTATCAGTTGTTTCATCGTCCCATGACAGTGAGGCGTCTGCGAACCACTTTTGCGAATCTTGCTACTTCCTATCGCACTGTAGATTAGTACTCCATTTCCCCTTCTCTTACTCCCTGTATTCTCACAGTACTCCTCAGTCCTCCACTTTCTTCAGGTGGTCCTCCTTTGGTGGACACTGACCAACCATTCACTTCCGAATCGCCCGAACCCACCAGTCACTCGCAATCAGATCCTGTCTCTGCAGAAGATGTCTCTTCTAGTCACTCCAGCTGCTCACCAGATCATAGACCCATACACATAATAGAGACTAGCCATCGAGAAGCTTCTCACACCAAATTCAAACCCGCCTCCAACGAAGCACGACAAAGATCAGAACAGTCCGGGTCGACGAAACCGCGTTTTAATGGTCGAATCGTTAGGACTACTACCAACGGATTGGCGAAATGAGTACGCTCCATGTTTTGTTCCTCGTTTAGTGTACTTTTTCCACTTTTCGTGTTATCGATCACTTATGGTTTCTCATCATCGCGCTGTTTGTGGTGCAGCTGATCTTGGCTTCATTGCTTCCTTCCTGGACTTTCGCTGTTTGTGGGGGAGGGAAGCATAGCGAGACTGGTTTTCTATGGTTATTACCACCCCTCTATGCAATAGGTGGGTTCACCGGTGAGTTATGCGAATGTCCACTTGCCAACTGACTCTCTGACCCCGCACTTGTTCGTTTGTTCAACCTTAACTCTCTACTTCGAATTTCTATTGACAGCCAACCCCACATATGATTTTTTTAACACTATTTTTAAACGGTTGATTGCGTTCCCAGAGTGATCACTCGATGGGATGACAAAAAGGTACAAGTGTCAGAAACACTGAGTCTGACTGTGATGGGTTCCTTAGTGTCGGATAATATGTTCGAGATTGGCCGCATCAGCCGGTACAGTCCCATAAGACGCAGCACGGTCGAGATGTCGGTTGGGTTCTCTCGCTGCTACCTACCTTCTTCCCCCGCGGTACAATTTTTGCATTAGTCTTTTTTATGTTACCTTATGTTTCTCTCGGTCTACTTACTTTTGTGGCATTGTAGGTATCGAAATCTGAATTGAATTCATTTTAATGCTGGTATTATTGCTGTATTAGCAAATCCTCCCCGGAGCTCAACGATAAACGTTCCCGTTCATCCACTTTCCACATAGGTTGGCATATTTTAGTTGCACGTGCAGAAGCGCTGCTTCTTCGCCTCTTTCAGTAGGTGATACTTCCTCAGAAAAACAAAGAAGGCAGTAATTTGCACTGATGCTTTGCTGCCTTACAACCATTGTGTCCCCGTCCTTCAGCGCGAATGCCAATGAAAAGTGCGACCTGATGTGCGATGTAAATGCTGTAAGCCGACAGTATTCAACATTAAGTCGCCTACAACTTACTGACAACTGCAAGTAACTGAATACCATATAGCTTTCATGTGGCTTCGGTGAGACAGCCTCATGTGGGTTTTCGCTGCTCAGTATCACTATCAAGTTTACCCCGCAGGATAACAAACGCAGCATTGATGTCAATTGTGAACTGTGTTTTTTAATTCCTCGCTTGGATCCCAATTTGGAGGGCGACATACACTAAAGGCACCAGGTTAATTGTCAGTGATTTCAATTCTCAGTGCCAGATCCGTGATGGCTGCTCTCGACCTACCACTGATCCAGTAAACAAAACATGGCCTTAAACAATTGACCTTGGGCGGGTGCACCTGTCGCACATGTATGCTCGTTTACGTTTTTGTTAATCTGATAAATTGACCCAACCATCGCCTTGTAATCCTATCCTATGCGCAGCAGTATTTCATTTAACACTCCTAAGAACATTGGCTCGTTCTTTTGCACCGTTAACTTCTACGACATGTACGGGTCGTTTTTCTTTACCGATCGATGATCAGTCGGATTTAATAATGTGCGAATTCCCTCTCTCTATCGGTTTCAAGCGTGCTTTCACATCCCTCACTACGGCACGGTTATTGGTGGTTTTATGAAACCTTTGATCCTACTATTGTTGCGAGGCTAAATTTTACTGTTATGTGGCATTTTACCTTCCACTTTCTTCACCATCTCAGATGTCAGACGGTCACTTTTCGCTTCTCAATCTCATCGGGCTGTCCCGCCACCCCCTATCGATCAGCTCTCAGTGGCTGTCGCCCTCTCGCGTGTGCATGCATTTGCCTCAGCAGCTTCACCCCCTTTGGGGGGTAAATAGGATCGCGCTTGTTGTTCTCGCCGTCACTGCCACCGCCGTCGAATTTGGCTTTCCGGATGTTCCGTTTGTTTCAACATACACCGAACATCATGGTGTCACGTGACTTCACTTTGCGTGTGTTGTGCCGCGCGCGCCCACACACATGCGTCCACGCGAAATTATCCTCTCAGCACACGCTATCGCGCGGTCACGTGCTGCAATTCAATCCCGGTGCATGTTAGTCGATTTGAACGATTCACCTCATTTGTTTTTTGTTTCTTATTTCTTACTCCGTCCCCTTCCTTCTATTACTTCCCTGCTTTAACCTAGAACTCCTTCCAGTACAATTATTAGCTATTTTTATGTGCGCCCTTGTCGCCCTACACACAGAGTTCCTGCCATCCAGGGGCAATGTTGCCTTTTCCGGTGCTATTGTCTGCCTCCACCACCGATAGTACACTATTGTTCGACTGTGATGTGTTATCTCCTGTAGTAGGGGAGAAAGAATCTCTCCCTTCCCCCGCGCCACTTTCACTCACTTCGTGTGTTTTAGTAGTCTCAATTCAATGTATCACCTCGTGAATAGATTACATAAAAACGGAACTTTTCGACATTTCCGCCTGTCTGCCAAATCGAGTCCTTACAACCAAGTGTATATCACATCAAACAGCGCGCGAGCTCGACGAGCACCAATGCACACAAAATCCACTGCAACCGATATCGCATCTCTGCCCCTGTCTGTCTCTCGATCTTTGCGTTTTTGTCTCACGGATTTTCAATCGTTCTTTTATTTTTTCGTGCTTCACGAGCGAAGAGTTTCCCCTATTTTTATGTTCCGCCTACTGGTACCACGATAACTGTGTTAGTATTATTATTTCTATTATTACTATTATTATCACCATTTTATTATTATTATTCTCAGCGTTTCGCGAGAACGTTATACCGCAATCATGATTATTCATACCTTCTTAACTCGCTATTACTACTCGGCTCGTCAGCTAATAGCACCAGATGTTTAGCGTATCCGTTTACTTTTACGGTTCGTTGTCGGCATCACTGGTTACAATTTTAATCTTCAAAGGTGCACGTAAATTTGTCTGATGTATCTCTGTCCGGTTTCTTTGGAGACATTTTGCCGTGCAAATGGGAGGCTTTCCACTTTCGTTCAAACACACACACACACAGCTAAAGTTTTCGTGATTCGTTCTTCGTTAGACTCCTTCGCTGAGCGATTAGTTTCCTCTTTTCCCCGTTGGCTGTGACCTTCAAGAGCACCTGTTCTCCACTCCTCCAAATGCCTGTATATGAGCTGCTTATCCCCTTCGTCCCATCCGCACTCACCGTCACACAAAATTACTCATCCTGCATACATGCCTTCAAGTAGGCTGATTTCGTCTGTGTTCCTCTCCTGATCGCTTTACTTCTGTGACTTCGCGTTCCTTTTTCTCTGTTTTTCTTCTCTTCCCTGTACTATTTCGTTGACGAATTTTTGTATTATGTCCTTTCTTTCTCATTTGTCGGTTTGAGACAACTTTTTCGTTTTATCGTTACCGCGATGTGCTGATTTCCCCCATTTTTTTCCGCTGGCTGAAATGCCCTAGTGTGTTTGTTATCCGAAGAACTCAACGACACCGTTTTGAGAATGATCAGAATCTTTATTTATGTAACGCCAATCTTGTTAATGTCGACATTACCACTATTTCTTATGAGAAACGTTGGCCGATTTGTTCAGTGAGATACACACTAGATTCCCGTTAGTACTGCCACATTACTATTGATATTGTTACAGCCACTGAAGACGATCACTACGAATTCTTCTTTCGCACTCCTTTGCTGTTACTGTTCGTGTAATGGTGGCGCCATACTCCTCGTCGCTAATGTCGTTGTGGACAGCGGATCCAAGGTACACTGAGAGTTTCACTTTGCATACTGAAGTCGAGCTTGTCTGATTTTTGCTTTGCACCTCGCTTTGTAGCATATAATCTGAAGGTTCACGTGGTTTCATTAAACCGACGGATACCAGGCATTCCATGTACACCGATCAACTTGAACCGTGCACGAGTTACATTGTACCTTTCGATTGTCTGGGCCTGAGGAGACAGGACTTCGTGATGTGGGCGCTTGGATGCAGCCCGCCTGTTTATCCAAGTCATCCACGCGTGCGGTAACTGTCCGAATTACTGCACCGAGGATTTACGCTATGACTGATTATTAATGCGTCTATCCTGAAGACAGAAGGCGTATGATTCCCTGCGTCATTGGGCCATCGTGCACCCTCTGCCCGAACATTACATGATTTTTTTCGGATCTGGCTCTGCACCGTGCCTAGTTCAACTAGGAATCATGGGCATGCGGTCGGCAGCTGTCCTAGGAATTGCTTGGAATCACCACAAGCGAATGCATCACTCTGAAATGATGAGTTCTCAGGTGCTTTGCTCTCCGACTCGACATATCAATGACAGGACACTTGACGGATGCTAGTCTTCCGTGTGAGTAGCTTTGCTTTGTCTGGAAGACACTAAACAAGCCATTGAACGAACGAACCCCGTTTATCCTCAGTAGAATAATGTCCGAACCCCGAAAACTCTTAGCGACATTCCTCGCTGTGCGTTTTCACTGCCATTGGCGGTGATCATTCGGGCCGTGAATTCATTTCCGATTAGATGTGTCACTTGTTCACTGATTTCTAACCTTGTGTGACGTTTCATACTCCGTTTTTTCCAAGGTGTGCACCAGGGTAGAGGTTCCCTTTTGCTAATAGTTTGGGATGTATTGAGGTAGTCGTCATACTGCATGATCTCGTCGCCCCATGCTCATCGTATAGTAGCTGTTCTTCACACTTAGATTATTATTTAGACTGTTCTGGCAATTATTATGCACATTTCACAACAGGATGCCCTGGCAGTCACTGGTGCTTTCAACGTCGCGAACTCACCTCCGATCCTGCTACATAAATGAAGATTGCAGCGAAGTATTTTGTACCCAATCGATATGTCCGGCATGTTTTCGGTCAATTCAATTTCAGCCCGACAGAAAAAGAAGTCAGCAGTATGCTGTGATCCAGTACCGACGGTTCGTTGCCATGCTGCCACTTCCGTTCGCGTGAGATAACCTTCATCTACGCGAATTCCAACCAGAGATCTTAGGATTACAACGTAGGCGTGCCATCCTTTCGGCCAGCGGCTGAAGATAACATTCATTTTTCGTTCCACACATACGAGTGTGAGACTCCTCTAACAGTTCGATTCAGTTGAACAACTATGATCCGAGCACCAAAGTGCAGGAGATCCGGTCGCTACTATTCACATCGCAAGAATATCAATAGATAATAAGGCCAACATAATTGGGTTAAAGGCAAATATAATGTAAAGAAAATGGAAGCAGAAAGGAAGTGCGTTAAACTAATCAGAATAGAACGAAATTGATAACCAGAAGAAAAAATTGGATGCAGGAACGCCGTCGACTGCGTGCGTGCGCCATGTCTGACACTGTCTCCAATCAATGGTGTGGACCGTTCCGAGGCCCCCATCCACGAAGACGGCACGCACCAGCCTGACTAAGTCTCAGTCAATTTCTCCATGCCACGACTTTGACTGGCAACCACGCGGTTTTACCCAACTTAGTGCAGCCAAGGCCGAGGAAGCCGGTCAATGGAGGACATAGCCTAGGCAACGTAAGCGATTAAGATTCAGCAAACACTCGAGTGAGGCACCATAAGGCTTCTTACTGAAAACCAAGCGGCGGAACTCGGTATTACTCACTCGGTGTTCCCACCAGACGTGAGCAATCCTCCGCAAGCACCGGTGGTCAAACACGACCAAATGTTTAATGTCTTCGCGGCGAACTGGCCAGATGTCTGTCCTGTACAATAACACCGGTTTTATCGCAGGGTTATACACCCACCTTTTGCTGGCAGACTGATATCCCGCTGTTCCCATAGATGGCCGAATCTCTGGAAGGCCACAATAGGGCCTTGCTAATACGCGGAATAACTTCCTCAGTGATGTGACCACCAGAGGTGACAGTTCCTAAGGTAAGTGAACCGATCCACCACTTCCAATGGCTGTTCAGTGATAGCTAGAATAGTATTTCGCACTTTGAAGGTGCAAAGCACATGCCGAAGCGTGCAGCATTACACGTCAGTCTATCCAGTAGTGTTCGCATAGCCATTGCGTCAGATCCAAGACGAGCTATATCGTCTGTATATTCCAGGTTTGTCAGTTGGTCACCTGGCAGAACTCCCACTCTGGCAGAGTTTGAAGAAAACAGAGTTACTCATTCTCATTTCGATAATAGATTTGCAGAGGAAAGGAGATATAGGACAACCCAGGCAAACCCCACTTGTCGTGGGAAAATCAGGAGACAGTTTCCCGTAGACTCTCACACGGGCCTGGGAGTCACGGCACAGAGACTGCATAATGGAAAGGAATTTAGGCGGAACGCCCTTCACGGATAGGCGCGGTTAACAGAGTCGAAGGTGGCTTTCGAGTCAACGAAAACCACTATAGTCGGTCGTCTGTATGTGTCTCATCTCTAAAAATTGGCGGAGTAAATATGTGGTCGATGCAGCTACAACCGGGGGCTTTCAGCACATAGGTTCGTCGGAGAATGATACCCATGAGACGTTTGGAGGCGACGAAAGCAAAGCTAATGCCTCGATGATTTTCGCACAAAGTACTCTGACTGTTTTTGAAAATGGACACAACAGTCGCTAATCTGAAGGTACATCTTCAGTGTTCCAAATCGTGTTAAATAGGGAAGCGAGTACACTCAACAAAGAGGCACCACCATCTTTCAGCAAAGATGGAGGAATGTCGTCTGATCTATGAGCCTTGTCTCCTTTCAACATGGATAGCTCACATCGAATCCCTTCCAAAGTGGGTGTGACATCTACTTCTCTGTCGGCTCAGGTGATTAGACAAGCAAAAGTGTCGCTGCAGCTCTGATGAGCAGTATTTCAAAATGTCGACGAAGCTGAGAATGGATCAACTGTCCATCTTTCTCAGCTAAATGATGG